TCGTTGATAATAAGTACTTAGACCAGTATTGTTATACAAAGTACGCACGAAGTAACGCATAATTTGTTGTGCGCACAACCACGATGACCATAATATATTCTATAATCGGGCGTGATCAGAGCTCGTGATAATAATTAGATTCTCAGAAATGATCGCGTTTATTTTTCCGTCGGACAGCGTCTTTTACACACCGTCGTGACTGAAAGAATCGACTGGATAATATATATATATCCATATATTGTATATATATATATTATTACCAAAAGAAAAAACGAGAAAAAAAATGAACTTCCTCCTAGTGTGTACTTAATAGTAAACTTATTGAATTATCATAATTTTACGAAGTGCAAAAGATATCATATCGCTGTTAAAGTTCTTCCGGTTCCGGGGATTTATATATAATATATATTGTATATGTATACACTGCGTGTTTGCGGCGAAGTTTATAAAAAATACGAGAAAAAAATAACGATTGAACAGCGATGTTGAAATATTAACGTGGATGCAATACGCTTGGCAATGAAACGAAGAACCCTTGTTAATCGACGCTATAAAAACCTTCGTATTATCGGTAATTCCCGACAAAATGTTTAATCGTCATATTGTAATGGTTGCTTCACAATGAAAGAATAAGGCATGGCAGAATCTATGGGAAAAAATAACGTGTGTACGCTTCTCGAATTTACTAATCATCATCAACGTATTAGGATTTGAAGAACGTGTTATGGTTTCGTATCTGCACGACCAGCGGTCGTCGATTTTTGCCTTGAATTAAAATTTCCTCGAACGTGTATCAACGGAACCAGTGTATATTCTCAATTACGATCGCTTGTTGTTTGATTATTATTAAAAAGAAACGAATGATATTCACAGCAATACGCATCGTGAGTCATTCGAGTGGGATTTCCAACTTGTGATTACGGTGAACGATTAATTATTCCATGGCTGTGTATAAACGGACTTCAAACCCCAAGGAATTTATCCTGATGGATGGGCTAGTGGTACTAGTAGCTCGTAGCCGCGAGGTCTGTACATTTTAGTGAATTGTTTAGACAAACATTATACCTCATGTTTCATACGGTTCCCGAAAGGACGGTCATCAACTGCTTTTTTTTATACTTGATCTATGCGATCTATGTTCTTTGAATGTAACGACGAAATACAATAAACTGTCGTAGCTCGATTGAATTTTGATTATTTTCGATAGTTGTGTCTCTCAATGTCGTCGTGAAGTAAGATGAATAAAGATTAAACGAATGAATGGAAAGTTACAAGATAAACATTTAATGTTCACATTAAAAACTAAACGTTATCTAGGACATCCAAAGTTATTCTATGTATCAGATAAATATAAGTGTTATTTATTAATTTTTCTCATTCGTTTTACAAATGTAAACTTTTCGTCTTGAGCATTTGTTTTTTGCAAGATACAAATTCGAATAAAGTTAAAATACGAATGAGGAGTTTGAACGAGATGCGAGAGTCAGACACGATGAAAATGTGAATAACGCTACGCTTTGTAATAAATTATACTAAATAAGATGTTATGAGTATCATACCTATTGTTAAATGAATACTTGCTCACTGGCTAAGCTATCCGCAAATGGCGCGACGATTACCTTGGTAGCGAAGTAAAACGTTAAACCAAAAGTAATGGAGATCGGCAAGGCTGGTAACGCCTTCTTGAATACAGCCAACAGGAGAATTGTTAAACAGAGTCCCTAAAAGTAGAAGATGTTAATAATACGAATAAAATAGTTCTTATTTCGATACACAAGATGAACCATCTATAATTAAAAACAACAGAAAAAGTGTTTTGACTTTAACTGTAGATGATTCATCTTGTACAACTAAAATTGGGTACTTTTTCTATGGCAGTGGTGGTGTGTACAACTATTATGTCCGTCTATAAAAATGCTACGAATAAATACATACAATTAAAATGGCAATGAAACAAGCCAAAGTAGTATTCCAGTCGCCATAACTGGATGCCTTTCCAACCAAGACGCTGTAGAATATAAAATCTCCAAGACCCAGCTTTAACCCCCGTTCTTCTTCTGTAATTGGAGCTACGTATCCTTGCACATCTTGTACTACTCGATTATCTTGTTGCCTTGAACTTTCGGTCATCGACGAAGAATTTTCAAGGACTTCCTGTGCTCTCCTCGCACCTCTGTCGCCTAAAAGCGAAGCTGTGTGTTAGTTATTTTAATTACTGACAAGATGACACTTACTCTTATCTAATACCGTGGGTTTCTATCCACTCAGGAGTAAACCCGCCTTCCTCAGCATCCCTCGTTGCAGGAGCGTTTTGATTTTCCGTTTGATTGTTCACTGGATTCGCTGTACCGCCAGCAACGGAATCGCTGCTGGTCATTGTTGTCGTATGTACGAAACCCGTGTAAGTCGTTGACGTTGTGTACATCACAGTCGATGAATAAATCAAGGCAGCGAATATGGATTCATTGCGTTCTTGAGCAGTTTCTACTAATATCCTTAAAGGTCCTTTCGGTGGTAATACTGCTATTAAATCTGTTGATATCGACGATAGATTATGTTTCAATTATAATGATCCCATTTATGTAGTAATATATAGTATCACTTCGTATTCATCTTACCCCAAATACTAATAGCACCTAAGACCACCCACGCCGTCCACTCTGGCAGATACTTGATGAAAACAAGAGCCATTAGCGCAGAGATGAAAATAAGGTATGCTTGCTGCAACTGTAAGGGACCCTGCCAATGTATGCATATCATTCCAACAACTCCAAAGTTCCATGAAATTATACCTAATGTGAATAGATCTATTGGAATGTTGTAAGCTTTTAATATTTGTCTGAAAGAAATATCATCTTTAATTAATATGGCAAGTAAATATTGATAATATATATATAAATATACTCACTCGCAGTAGAGAATAGAAAACATAGATAACAATAGTAAAGAACTTATAATCAGCCATGCCCGAATTACTGTATAAAATTTATATTTATATAAGACTATAAACGTCATAGTCATGAAAGCAATAACACTTATTAATATTAAGGCATTGGCAACTGCTTGCCAAGCTTTGGTACTTGTATCTGCGCTGTCTTCATGGAACGGAGTATATAAACTGAAAAAAAAAATTATATTGTATTTAACAATATCTCTACATAGAAGCCTATATATTGCGTACAGTTTTATGCATATAAAGAAAAACTTACAGGTATATCCCTTTGGTTGTATAGAAATGTATAGAACTAATTGTTGCAACTACAACTAACATACAAAGTGATACAGGCACAAATAATTTAATGACGTGTGCTGCCCCATATTTTAATTCCTCTTCTTCTTCATCTCTGTAACTCCTAGCCCTAGTCTGACTGCCACTGCCTGTTGGACCTCTCCTACCTGGACCTGCATTATTTGACGTACCTGGTGACTGAATATGCACTTCAGGTACACCATTTTCAATCTACAAATCATTTACATTATCGTTATATCAAGTCCAAAAGTGATAAAGGCTAAAAATAATAAATTTACAATGTAGGTAAATATTTACTTCAATGTTACTGCTAATTTATATAGTTATATGAACTTTTCTTACTTTCTACTCTTGTAGAAATAGTGAGAGATTCGTGTTGCGTATGGATAATGGAATATTTCAGACAAAGAGTAGAAGGTATCATTGGTTTACCTCTTCATTACTAATCCGTGAACGCCTTTTTCGACTTGTGACCAAGCCTAGGTCATCCGAACGAGATTCTGCTACGTGAATGTCCATCAGACTGGTGTATTCGTCGGCCGAGTCGTAAATATCGCTCTCAGACATTCATCCACGTTTATACTAACTAATCAAGTTAACCCAATAAATGTCTACATAAGAAACCTTTTGACAGCTCCGCGACTGTCTTGTTAGACTTCCACGCTTTACTACGAAACGTAACCAATTATGATTACATTCGTGAAAACAGGAGGGAAATGACGAACTGTTGCGTGTGGAGGTGCTCTACATTAAAAAAAGGGCAAAGCAAATATTTAGTTACATGTAACTACTCTTTTCAATTAATTCGTAATTTACAAGCAACTTCGACACTTAAGGAAGCCATTTTTAAGGATGATTCATTGCAGTGACCTCTACACTGAAGTTCTACAAACTAAACGCAGATTTAAATGAAAAATTTAGAAAACAATCCCGTGAAATTCTCACGATTAGTTCATCACAATTTTATTGTGCAATAAAATGTACATTCCATTGCAGAAATGTGTACAATTAATACGATATCAGAGAAATCTTTGGGCAACGAATTCCAGTTACAGAAGAGCAACGTGTCTTTTGGATCAATTCCGAACACCACTCTCTACAAAGATCTAACGCGTCCAAATACGTTTTTCTAGTCGATTCCTACTCTGCCCTATGATGCTGTAAATTCTGCAAATGTTTCGTCACAGAGTCTGGATTCAATGGTACAGATTTTACAGCAGAAATTTTGGTTAGAAATATTAGAAAGTCTTCTAGTTAGTTTAAGAGAGCCGCCTGTGACACTACGAAACTCTAATTCCACTGTTCCCATCGGGCTAAAGAATTTAAACAATTGAAACGCATTAAGTGTTTATACGAATAGAAATTTCTGTATGATCAAATTTGATCCATATGCATTGTTATGCATATAATTGTTAGATGCATAACAAGTAGTATATATATTTATATGCATATATGCATGGCACAAAGTTAAATATGTTACAGTTATATATCTCCAAACAACTAATGACTACACAAACGATCCGATTTCAAAAGTTACTTTAAAGGTGCTGTCTTGCCTATTAGACCTAAAATTTTTAGTTATATCTAATTACAGAGATATTTGACGGTAACATGATTAACTTCACAATTCCATACATTAACGCTGAATTACACAGAAAAAGAATTGTGAACTAATGTCCTTTGTACATCTCTTCTATTTTGGATCGTTGAAAATAATGATCACACCTTTACGCATTACCACGAATAATGAATATCGGTTAATGTTGAAAATGGGAACAAAATCGATAATTTAAGTTAATGCGACATGTTTGACAGAGGATTCGTTCGACTACACGAGTTCCGTTCCGAGCAATTACGTGTCTAACGTCCAGTAAGAAAAATAGTTGAGCGCTATGCTAATAATGTTAACAGCAATTTGTATATTTGTAACATAAATAATAGCAAGTAGTTATTATAATGGTACTAATGAAGATAGTTAATTAAGTACACTGTTTAGATACGATTCGTAGAAGCATCCTTATGTAAGACTGTAATAAGTTCCTTTTTCATCTTCGTTTATATGTATATATCGAATATACGTACATCTAGACCAATAATCTTTTCTTATTTTTCTTGTTTCAATTAACGTAGCGGTACAATATTCCACGAAGAATAATTTTCGTTAATGACCTCGAGGTCAATCGCGTGCGTAACAATTTATGTACAATACATATACATGGCTCTTCTCAATCACTACTTCGTTATAAATTAGTGAAAAAATAATGCTGCTTTGGCCATGGTCTGCGCATCGGTAATTATTTACCTACATTTTCGTTGCTAATACCTACATTTTTGAATGCGATCTTTTGATAATCCTCAAAAAAAAACCCGAATACCGTGCCCTTTCCTTCCTTTTCTTTCTATCTATTACAATTTCAACTCGAATATCAATATATTCACCACAATATACCATTTCCCCTAAAATTGTTCATATCAACAGCGACCAATTATATATTTATTACTTTGATTATTATCATTGTCTGTATTAAGATAAATCTTTCTCCAAAGCCAAGATTGTTTACTCCTTCCCCTTTTACTTTCAAAGCTTTCCTCGATTTTGCTTTCCCTTTTTAATAGCCTGTTTCCTTTTTAGGTTCATCGTTCCTAGTAAATAACATATTTTGACACATTATTTAAAATACTTCTATATCTCGAGTATCGTAAAGCACCAAGTACCTGCAACTTTGGTATGACAACAAAACTGTTCCCTAATTTGATCTCTTCCACTACACAATGTACATGGAACTAAGACACTGTTTATCCTGGTAACACGTAACTTCTAACAAGGATTTCCACCCGTCGAAATCAAATAGAAAACATACAATGGAATGCTTCGACTTCTTCGAAAAAAATGTTAAAAAAAAAGAGAGAAAACGAAAATTCTTCGCAACGGATAATGAATGAACGAAGTGTAGAAAATGATAGTTGAACATGGAATGTAGCTGTCCGATAACGATTCAAAGAAATCGTGTTGATGCGGAACGCAACGTTGAAGTACAACTTAGTACAGTGTTAAAAGACACATGACACGCTGACATGTAAAACACGTTGACGTTAAAAAATAACATTTGATTCTTATCAACACTCTCATAGACGCATTCTGTGATTACATTGATAATTATGTTCTCTTATCACCCATTACAATTACAGGAAATTAAAAAGTTATCCCTTACGAAGGCATGTGTGTAACATCGAGGAGCTCGTTATCTTCAATATAAATTAAGATAGAAGCTTTTTTAGTCGATAGAATTATTTAAGCTTACCTAGTTTCAAGTATAAGGGTAAACTGATCTTAAGAATGTACTGTACAATGAAAAATAGCTGTCGTGACGACACTAATAAATGTATATATAACAAATATAGTTCCGCTATTGTATCATCTATGTCCGTTAAATCTTCTCATATGTTTTATGTTCCAATAAATTAATTATTCACGTTGCAACAAATAAACAACGATCTGTACATTTAATATAAAAATTAAACCTAAGGACGGAAAACAGAAAACGCTAAGACTAATCAGATATATTCGGATGACCCCACTATAAAGACAATAT